CAAACAAACAAACAATTTACAAAGAATTACAAGATGCCCACATTACATCTCTTACATCCATCTGGTTATAGATTTTTTCCTTGTTAATAACCAGGCGATGTTACCAACTTAAGATTAACCCTCTTTAGGAAATGTTTAAACTAAACTCAAATCAAGCCATAACAACTGGTAGGATCCTTAGAGGACCTTTTTTATTACTGGTTCTCCTAAGGTTACCGCCTACAGAAAAGAGATTAAACTAAAATCAAATTAAGCTTATGGCATCTAGCTTGATTCCTGGTAGATTTTGCTTACTAATCGAAATAATATTTTACCCAAAGATGAGATCCCTTTCTAGAAAATGGAATAAACTAATTTTAAAATAAGCATTGGTAGCTGCCTGGATTGTTCAATTTATCTTACTTGCTATGTTACTAGTCTAAAGGTTGCTAAACTTTTATGTTAAGTTAATGTTTAGATGGAAAAACTTGGGTACACTACATATGATAATAATTTCTAATTCTACAGACTTTTATGAAACGTTTTAGTAAAATGACGTAATTCTGAGATTTCATGTCAACTGGAAATTTCAACCTTTGTAAACCTTTTTGATATTATTTCTTTATCATAAAGTGAGCAATGCAACATAAGATATTACATGGTTTATTATGAATACTCATAAAGCTGTCATTTTTGATATTCTTTTCTCATTGCCCCGTAGTGGCTCAACGGTAAGTCACTAGGCTTATAACGCTAAAACCCGAGTCATTTTGAGTTGTTATATCATTTACGCAATTCAACAAACATCTGTAAAATGATTTTAGTGTAGTGGCGTCATTTTGAGTTGTTAGATCATTTACGCAATTCAACAAACATCTGTAAAATGATTTTAGTGTAGTGGCGTCATTCTGAGATGTCATATCATTCGAGTGATTTTACAGATATTTGCACCCCAGTGGCTCAGCGATAAGTTTGAGGGTTAAAAATCGCCACAGGAATCCCAATGCGTAGTTTTGAGCTTAAACACAAACTACCCTCTGATATTTGCATAACGATTTGAATATAGTGAAGAATGTCTGGGTGACATTCTACTAACATCTGCAAAACAATTTCAATATGTGACGTAATTTTGGATCTCACTTGCGAGATTCTACAGATGTATGTAACTATTTTTTACCTGTGTATAAAATTCGTTAACGTAATTATATTACAAATTTTAGCAGTAAACTTACCTATTATTTAGTTGTTTATGTCTTTTCTCATAAATCTCTAAGACTTCATGGAAGTAGAGTAATAATTGTGGAACGGATGTATGTACTTTTTTGAGAATATTGCAGAACACTCTTAAGAATTAGTGTTCTCAAATTGAAATTTTATCAGTATATAGCTTATTGTTTTTCCTGTCAAATATTTGATATCTAGTATACAAAATTTCGATTTTGAAGCTTTTTGAAAAAGCTAGTGCTCTTAGTAGTTAATTGTTTGTTTTAATCAAGCACAAAGCTACACAATGGGCTATCTGTGCTCTGCCCACCACGGATATCGAAACCCGGATTCTAGCGTTGTAAGTCCGCAGACATACCGCTGTGCCACTGGGGGGCTAGTAGTTAATGAAATGACGTTTTTCCTGATTTTGTATATATATTTCTTGATGCTGTCTCTGACTGGTTTGCAGTAAACAACACTGTTCTAAAAGATGTTTATATAAAAAATGTGTTCTCTGTGTTTGTACATTAAAATATTTCTAAATATTTTTTCGGGACACAATTTGTCAGTTTTATACAAATATAAAGTCTAAAGCTAAAAGTTTATTTCATCGTAAGATAAACAAGTATTTAACAACTCTCAAAACAGAGAGTGTTTGAAATTATTTAAGTTTTGGAATTCCCAACAACTTTATCTTTGCCGGGTTTGTGAACTACAGATCTATCTATACCGGGTAATTAAAATTCAAAAGAGGGGTTTACTTGGAAGTTACGACGCAAAAATCCTTACTAAGATTATTTGAGTCAATTTACTGGGATAATGAATGTTTCTGCTAGTTTTCAAGGAATAAAATGAATAATTATTTTTAAAGCATACATATAATACTGAAAAATTGTTCTCAAAGTAAAACAATATTCGTAACGTCTTATATTGTGTTTTTTTAACTCCATCACATTGAATGGATGCGACTCGAGATCAAAATATTACCTTTGAATCTTGTTTGTTTGTAGTTAAGTACGAAGCTACATAATGGGATATCTGTGCTCTGACCACCACAGGTATCGAAACTCGATTTCTAGCGTTGTAAGTCTGCAAACATACCGCTGGGCCACAGCAAAAATCAGCGTTGAAATTTGTTCAATAAAATGTTTTGTTTATTCAATTTTATACATAAAAGTAAACAAACTTGCAAATTTTGATTTTGGGTTGATTTTGGCAAGTTCCGAACGAAATCATTATTGTGTATGAATTTCTTTAATGTTTTTTTAGCAGAATATAGTACTCGCAACCTCTTAGGAAGAAAGCTATAGCAGTTGAGAACAAAACAGCACTAATTTGACCTCGTAACTTGAATACGAATAGTTTTATCGATTTTTAGCCAATCACTGTCTCAACCTTGGTTGTCATGGTGTCGTATAATAATTGCGTATCGCACAGCTTCCAGAGGTCATAAGCTGGTGATCTAAATACATAATAACAACATTTTTTCTGTTCTTTTCAGCTGTATTAGCCAATATGGTTCCCAAATCGGCGTAAGTTCGCGTAGAGATTGGGATAAAAGTTTAGTTTGGTGATGTTGCTAAAATAAAACATGTTGGGGATCAGCTTCTGCCACAATAGCAGTTTGTTTTATTATTCAGCTCTGAGTGTAAATAATGGGGTACAGGCGTTCTTCACGTATGCGCTATACGTATTAAGTCATACTGGTGTGGTAAGTATCCAATATCAAGGAAAGCTTTCTGTCTGTCTGTATACGCATCCCCTCCTAAAGGAGTTGACCAGTCCAAACCAAATTCGGTATTCTAGCTTAGTAGCCCCGAAGCAAAAGAAAAAAACAAAAAAAACATCATATTAAACTTTCTCATATATATTGAAAAAATAAAATATTTAATAGAATAAACCCTATATTGTTGCTGTATTAGTTATTGTAAATTCAGCATTTTGTCTTCCCTCCCATAATAATGAAAATATACAGTAATAAAATCCAATTACAAAGAGTAGAATAAAGATATTACTGTTGTTTAAGTTTCCCGCTCTTTCGTCATACACAACATTTAACTTTCAGTTTATACTAGGGTTAGAATAAGCGCTTAAGCCTGAATTAGAGAAATATTTCATGATTAAAACATTTTAGGATATTTTTTACTTCTTGGTGTGGAATGTAATTTTCCATAGAAGCAAAATTCAATATTATTATTACATTTTATGCATTAACTATACCAAATTCAGACAGTAGAAATCTTGACCACATCTCTACTGTGAAATGGACTGCTTTGAACAAGAAGTAACGCAACTGCTTGCCATTTCTGCCAAGTTTCTCGACTCGACTTCTACACCTCCTCACTTTCAATCCACTTTCCCTGTCTTACAACAATTTTCTTGGATAATAAACGCTACTGAAAATCCTCGCAGAGGTTTTGCTCATTTTTAGCAAATTTGTACGTGTTCTTCGCGTTTTCAAGAGAAAAAAGGTCTCCTTAAAATAACCTGCAAAACTTTTAAGATAAGACATTTAAAGTACATTACAAGAACTTCAAAAACAAAATCCATTATGAACTGAGAGTTCACTTTTACTTGTAGACTTTCATCAGATCTGTCGGTCTTTCAACAAGGGCACAGCTGGGTATACAGTTTGCCGCTCAAAAAATTAATCAAATTGAACACCTACTTAATTTTATTCTTAACTGAAAATAATTTTTTTTACTAGACAAAGATGAGGTAATATAAGTTAAATCACTATACTTTCGACCGTATCAAGTTTTGATCCGTCGTTAAAGTTG